ATATCTCAATAATAAAGTAAAAAAAGTATTGTAGTTCCTACACAGTGTAACAGTTAGATAAATCATACATCAATGATCAGGTACTTAATAACCAAATGGCTTATCTGCAACCTTTTGTACCACGTAACCTGTGTTAAAGAGTGCTGGAAATGCAAATCTGTGGCATAAAAATGATATCATTACATCTTGGTGTGATTTGAATATAACATTAATGACAGATATTTGATTTCGTGTTCTGATTTCATACTTGTTAAAGGTATCTGGTACTTCATCTAACTCCAAATTTAACTACTTGATAATAATTAACGATATTTTTTTAATTTCCACTAAAAATTTAAGTGGCATTAAATTCATACTTTGTAACAAATGGCAAAAGAAATAAAATATATACAAAAATTCTACTTTAAATATTAAAGATAAGCCTTCGCTGCCCATCACACATTCCCAAATGCCAATCTGTACATGTATATTATTTGAAGAAAAAAAACAATCAACAAGCTCAGAAATCCATTGGAACAATACAATTGTGAGTATAACGAAATCAGGCTTCTAAAAATATCTCGGGTACCTTGGAAGTGTGAACATCCCCTTTCTGCCGCTGGGATCAGGTGCCATGGAGGAGTGAGCATCCCTGTCGACTAGTCACACCCGCCGTTTCTCCCTGTCAAGACTAAACAAACTGAAAATCAGAGGACATTTTAATATGAAAGTAATGAACTAATATTTGTATGAAAAACGTAAAAAGCGATAGATTGTATTTGCTAACATGGTCATACCTGAACTCCTCTCTGGAATTTCTATTTGTTTTATGCCCTGTTCAATGATTTGTGTGGGGTTTTTTTTTGTAGATTTTTTTTAATATCGACCACTGATCGTTGTATTCACTTATTTCATCAGATAAGTTGTTTTTCATTTCATTCAACATCAGCAGAGATATAGAACAGTAGTGTATAAAAGAGCCTGTCTATTTACAAGGCCAGGACAGAGCAGTTTAAGATGTAATTTTTTCATCCAGCTAGAGTTTAAGGGATGCTAATTTTAGTTGACACATTTAGGTTTTTGTGAGCGAGTCATTAGCTTTAATACCCTATCCTATCGGGTGTTAAAGTTCTTTTTCAGTCTTGTGACAACCATGGGAGCTACTTGTCTCCGGATTATTGATTTTGTTATTTGGTGATACAGGTCTAACGTAGAGCCGGGTTTGGCTATATAATGTTAAACAATCTTGCGTATTTTTCATTTTGAATTCGAACAATTTTCAGGTAGGTATTATTTTTTCTTAATAAATTCTAAGGTATTTCAAATTTGTTTTTTATTTAATTTGGAGAAATATTTTTGTATTCAAATAAAATTTTCAATATTGGGTTAATTCAATCATTTAAATAATTAGAAGATTATCATTGTTAATTGTGCTCTGTATGCTACTGGATGCCTAATCTCAAAATGTCGAGGAACATTGTAATCATTCGTTTGATCTGGGACAAAACGTTAAATTTGCCGTAATATTTTATTGAATAATGAATGCTACATAATTCCCTGAACCCTTGTTGTGCAGTGGAAAGAGCAATTGCTCTAGAGTCGCGATGTAAGGAGTTCATCCATAAGTCGCGGGTTTGAATCCCACTGCAGGATGTGGAATTCGACCTTCGGCCGAGATCATGTAAAGTGAAGGCCCATGGCGTGGTAGTTGCTGGGACGATAAAGATCATTCACTGCCCAAAGGCTGTAAAGTTCCGGCAAATGCTGACAATAGTGTTCGGAGTGATTCGAGAGAAATAGCCTTTTTTGTTCATGCGTGAAGACTATTCTAACCTGTTTCAGAGTTAAATCAAGTTTGACTGAATCTAAAAGAAAGGTCATAACACTTTGCTATAATTTTTTCCCAGATTTTATATGCGCTTACATGTAATTTAGGGGCGTCAGAATAAGGGTACATGTATCTGTTAGTTATTTTTTATCCATTTAATCTAGAATCACCCTCTTCAAGTATTAAGATATGCAAAGATCAGTATCTAGTCATGGAATATTGTTTCTTTAGTACAAAACGAATGCTAGAATACAATAGTTTCATAGAATCGTAGAACTCACCTATTTTAAATCAACGTAGTCCTGATAACGCGATAGAACGAAATCAGAGACGCCTAGGAAATTACAGAGATGAATATCTTAACTAAAAACCATGCACGGAGTGGAATTACCATTGTTATTCGTCTTGCGAAAATTAAATGAACCTACGCTATGTCAAGACAAAATAAGACCGATTATTGGTGTTTTTGGTATTTGCTATATTGATAATACTTGGTGTTGTATCTAATGAGACACTTGACCATTGCTAAAGCATGGTAGTAAGGTAGTTTGTTAGTTTGTTGTCTAGCATCCCTCTCGAGAATTGTTTACACATATGAAGAAGCCACCACAAGCCGGCGAAGGGTTGCAAATTTATACCTAAACTCGGCACTAGGACCTTTAAACAAGGATATTTCGTGCCAGCATCTACCGAGAAACGGAATCTCGGTTCATATGGTCTTTTCCGAAATATCTGTTTCAACACCCTGTAGCTCCTTAGCGACTCTAGAGCAAAATTATAAATCAGATGAGGTAAAATATTCCTGAAATATATAGAGATAACGAACAGTATTCAAGGTCAAAAGTCCATAAAACAATACAAAACAGGAGCAGAGTAAACACGGACCTCCAAAACATCAGAGGTGGGATCAGGTGCCATGGAGGAGTGAGCATCATCTGCCGACCAGTCACACCTGTCGTGTGCTCTTTGTCATGATCGGAAAATAACGGAAAAATCTACCGTCAATTCAGTGTATAAATATGAACTGAAATCGTCCTCAAAGAGATCTTTATCTGCCTCATGATAAAATATGGAGATACCAAGCAAAATGGAACTCAAAAGTCCATTGGAACAATACAAATCGGGAGCAGAACAAACACAAACCTTTAAAAACATCAGAAGTGGGATCAGGTGCTATGGAGGATTGACCATCCCCTGCAAACCAGTCACACTCTTCCTGTGCTCCTTGTCATGCTCGTACAAACGAAAAAAAATAATGGCTTAAAAATATGTATAATAAACGTCAGTCTGTATTTGGCTTGGCTGCAATATGTTGACTTGATATCCTTGCTCCATCAAATTGTTTGTCAATAGATTGTTTCGTTTTAAAATTATTTGTACATAGGGCATGTTCTTGCATATAGATTCATCAATTCAACTAAGAGACATCCAATTCACCTTATCAGGTGATAAGGATATATTGCTCATAAATAAGAAAGGTGGATAAAAGAAAGTTGATTTATACTGTATATTATGTTTTTGAAATTAGTTTTTCATTAATGCTTTTTTAAAGTAAGATATCCTAATTTATTTTTTTTGCGGGACAGCAGGACTGCCCATTTCTAATGTTTTATTATATGTACATTGAAGGATAGGGCTTTCTTGGGTTCTAGTTCTTACCTTTATTTTCCTCTAACATGACCACTGTTTGTTTATCCTTAGAAGTGGTAAAAATAAGATCAAACCACCCATAGTGGAGTTTTTCCAACAAACACAGCAAGAAAATATGTGATACAGCATTGACAAAAAATGAGTGACTTTCTACATGATATTGATAAAATCAGAAATTCCAAGCTTGTATTCCTAAAGCATTCGTATTCACGTTTTTGAATTTAACTGTGAAAACTAAAACGTTTGCAATTAGTGAATAAGATGTAATACATAAGCCTAAGTAATAGAAAACTCTGAAATTCTAGTCGTGACTTTCAGAACTAAGAATTACATTTAGTTTACACTTGGAAAGATGATCATATTACTATAAAGACGAGTGCAAACAAAATCTAATTAAGGCTGTAACTATGATTAAAAGGAAGATGAAATAAGGAGAAAATAAATCGAACACCACTGCCGGTCTGATCCTTAGTTAAGCCATGTCACATCGTCCGATGTTTTGATTTGATTTCGTGGTAAATAGGAGTCAGTGTCCGGAGTATTTACATCAGAAAGAAGTCTCAGCAGGGTATTGAGTTGATTGATTTACTGAGATTAAACGTATTCTAATAAAACAAATGATTTAGGGTTATTTTCTTTACTATTCTATTTTTAGATAAATTAAACGGAGGCATAAGTAGATTTATCTATTAAATGATGGTATATTGATTCATTTATATAAGAGTTCTTTGTAGCATCACAATAACCTACTTAAAATAACACAAACATCACCAATTTATTATATTTTACTGTTCACCATTGTTGATCTGGGTTTCTGCATTATGTCATTCACCCTTGGTGACGTCACAGGCGTAGTTAGTGGTATGAGTCAATCATGTTATTGTTGTCATGAATATATTTTTATTTAAGGAATAAATTTTATAGCTAACTATTTTATACGATATAAACTGGGTTGGGGCAGTTTACGCTTTATAAACCGCGAAGCGGTTTATAAAAAAGTGTAAACTGTTCCAACCCAGTTTATACCGTATAAAATGGGTAGCTATTACATTTATTGCTTATAATTTAATTTTATTCACTTGATGTAAGAAAAAAGATTATTGTTCTAACAAAATGACTTCAATTTGTGCAAAATTTGAATGTAACATCAGGCGGATTGATACGTTTTTGACGCAAGTCATTGTGACGTAGGCAACCCATTTTATACGATATAAAGTAAATTTTTTATCCCATCAAATACAGCGTTACAACCAGATTTAAATTAAATATATTTTATTGTATAAAAGAAAAAATAATAAAGATTTTGGAATTAAGTGGATAATATATGCCTTCAAGCATGTTGTTTTCATGGATAAATAACTTGGACATCTTTGAATTATCCTGCGCTATAATGTACATTAAACGCTGATTTGACTTTTAAAAAGTAATTAATTAATAATTTATCCTTATTCAAACAACTTTTCTTCGTTTCGCTCAATTTTCCATTGAGAATTCTTTGTTTTTATATAACTGTAGTAATGCCCTTTTATTTTTTCTTTGGCAGATTTAAAATGGATAATTCAACGGTTAACAATATAACGTCGCCTCTTGAATCCTGTTTGTTACAAAGACAGTGTGAGGATCCAGAAGGCCTACAGGCGTATGCTTGCGGTGTCTATCGGATTCATGGGTATTTTATATTGACTCTCTGTTGTTTCGGAATCCCTACAAACATTGTGAACATCATCATCCTTACACACAAATCCTTACGCTCACCCGTCAACAATATCCTCACCGGGATAGCTATCAGTGACCTCGTAACCATGGTAATCACAGTTCCTCTTGGCCTTCACTTCTACATCAGGAATGGTTTGGACATTACAGAAAATAAATATACATATGAATGGTCCATGTTTCTAGCCTTTTATGCTATGATGACAATAACAATGCAAACTGTGTCCATCTGGCTTGGAGTTTGTATGTCATTTTTTCGTTATGTGTATATTAAAACCATGGGAGCTGGGCGCCAAAATATTGATTCCAAGACATCTTGTTTTCTAACTTTATTCATGTTTTTTTTAGTTATAGTTATCTATATCCCGACCTACAGTTTTGTCTCAATAAAGGAAAAGACATGTTACAACGACATAGAAAATAGAACCGTTGATTACTATCGATTGGAACCGTTAATGAGCAATGAAAAACCTTCTTTGACACATGCCTACTCGATGTGGATTTACGCCGTACTTGGTAAATGGATACCGTGTTTTCTGATAACCCTATTTGGCGGATGTTTACTTCATTCCTTACAAGAGAACACAAGGAGAACTATACACCTTAATGGCTCACATGCCACGTCCCGGTTAAAACAGCATCGCAGAACGACGGCCATGTTACTGACTATTATTCTTATGTACATCATCGCTTCTCTACCCCAGAGCATCCTACTTATCGTTAGCTTCGCCAATAAAGCCTTCTTTGTGAACGAATATGCCCTCCTAGGAGACACATTTGATATTCTTTCCTTGATCAACAATTCAATAAACTTTGTTTTGTATTGTGCAATGAGCCGTCAATTTAGAGACCTCCTTAAACAGTGTGTGTGTCAGTACTTTGTTCTCCCACAACATGACGCAAAGAGCACCCAGACAGCCAGTCATCACATCTCTCAGAATAACCTACAAAGCAAAGTGTACGCCATGAACGAAATTAGAAGGCAGGAGAGCCCCCTTCTTGACAGAGGTATTGACATCTGAAGTTGTGGGTTCATGCTATAACATATTTAGATTTCATTTTTATGATGATAATTTTATGTTACACAGATATTTGTTATGACTTCTGCAGAACACATCTATTTCATGTTTGTTGGACAGTGAACTTTTTAGAGAGAGAGAGAGAGAGAGAGAGAGAGAGAGAGAGAGAGAGAGAGAGAGAGAGAGAGTTCTTTTTTTCATATCTTACAATAAAGTTGGACTTGTAAGTTAAAGAAAAAATGTAACTGTTATTGGTCTTTTTGTTTGCCCGTATCCACCTGTTCATCCAGCTGTTCTGATTTTGTTTCGTATTCAAAAAAGAAAAAGAAATTGAGTGGTCTATCAAAATTTGCTCAGAAATCAGATTAAGGTGTAGATTGAAAATCAAGAGTATGCCAGAGAGAGGTGCCTGTTATTGTGTCAGGGGTCAACCATTATAAATGTTAAACTTACAATGCGCAAATATACTTTTAATGAGTGAAACTTGAAGTTGATGTTAGTCACAAGCCAAGAGTAAACACCTGCAGTGTGCTCCCTTCCATAATTGAAAAAAAACGGGAAAATCCGATGGCCATTCTAGGTACGAAAGCCCAGAAGGCTCATTCGAGATTCGAGTTTCGGAGTACGAGATTCGAAATTCGAAATTCGAGTTTCGAAATTCAAGATCCAAACTAACCAATCAAAAGCGGGTTCAACATTTGATTACTCCCCTTTTTTATGTTTTTACTATCAAGTTGAATATATTTATAACAAATGGGTCATTTGCTAAAATAGTAATGCAAGAAAAAATGTTTTATGTATCAAAACGAAAAAGAAATAAAATTTGGATTACATCTTTAAAAATATATATAAAGTCTTATTTTTCTAATTAAACAAACCAGTAAATACGCATAACATAGAATAATATATACATTTGTGGTATCTCTCTATTATATAAACATACAGAGAGAAAATATCTTCAATTAAGAAATAAATAACAAGTTTATAAACTTCTTTTCAATGGGAACAAAATGGGTAAAATGATGATTATTTTATCAAATCCTGTGAAGGCCGAAGGCCTTCTCAGAAGATTTGATCACGTACCGACCCACTTCAATTCCCATTGAAGTTTATAAAATTGTTATTTATTACTTATATATACATTTGAGTCAGACAATATTGAATATTTTCGAATTTAAATTATTGCACTAACCGTCCGTCGTAGATTTTGAAAATGACGCAAGGTGTAAATCGGCTTGCATGGCGGTTACGCTTCGAATGCATTAGGCTAAGGAATCTGTTTCGAAGGGAATATTTTGTGAAAGGCTACTTGTGATCAGTGATAGTGAACAGATTGTTGTCTAGGAATATTTTTATTCGTGAAAAATGATAATCGATGCTGAAAAGACAGAAGAAACACGTCCGAAGTTTGATAATAAAAAGTTGGAGGATTTTCGGTCGCTGGAAAGGAATGGATGGATCCGATGGATTGAGACACTTGTCCGAGGCAGTTAATATGCAATTTGATCAAAAACATTCTACGTTTCAGTAACTAAAGGCATACTTATCGCAAAACACTGATAAACACAGAGACACTGGCGACAGCTTTACATTGAACTACGAAAACGCCGAGGTGTTTGGCAGCTGTTCATGGCATGATTGCGATGATATTTTTCAACAGATTTAGGCTACACATTTATCGTGAGTAAAATTTAAAGATAAAATAAAAGTTTATCATTCAAATTTAACCAAAGGTCTACCCCCAAAAATAAGGATGAACGTTAGAGACTGCAGCTGACAAAAGTGAAGAAAAATGTAAACAAACGCTAACACGTTAGGCTCCTAGTTTTCTCTATGTACATAGGTTAAATCGATAGCCCACAAACTGTATGAAAAACTTGTTTACATTTTAAATAAAATAATCATCATTTTACTTGCTTATTTTGTTCATTTTTTTATACATGAAAAGCAAGTCATTTTATAATTTATGAACCGGTAGATCTATATTATTGCGCCGTGTGATTAGGTCACGTATTGACCTCTGACCCCTGACAAACTTCATACAGAATTGAAGATATTTTCTCTCTGTATGTTTATATAATAGAGAGATACCACAAATGTATATATTTCTGTATGAAGTTTGTCAGGGGTCAGAGGTCAATACGTGACCTAATCACACGCCTTCGGCCTTCACAGGATTTGATCACGTGACCGACCCACTTCAATTCCCATTGAAGTTTATAAACTTGTTATTTATTTCTTAATTATATGGTCTTTTCGTTGATTTGCGAACTAAGTAGATCGACTAAGTTTTTATTAGATCACTGAAGAGGGAGAAAATTATTATTGATTAGATATGAAGTATTAAGAATCGTCTCTACACTGCTTAGCAATTCAAGGGTATATATTTCATTACATTTATAAAGGGTAATTAGTGCAGTGAGACTTGACTGCTGAATCGAACCGTATCGTTATAAGGTTTTACTAGTATATTTTAGTCTTTGACCATAACACTATGGTCAGAGACTAAAATATAAAACAATAAATCTTTAGTTCTCTACTGTTTGATATCAGATAAAATAAATGCCGCAATTATTTTATTTCATAATGTCATTTTGTAACGGCTATTTTTAAACCGGTATATTCTACAAAATTAGTTTGTACATTCAGATTATTGAGTTTTGTGCATACAATTTCTAATTCATTCAAAAAATCAAAGCCTTTGACCAAGATAAATAATTGAAAACTTACTCCTCTACTAGGAAAACAAACGCGATTTTTGTTTATCAATACCACGTTGCCTCTCAAGTTTTTCAAAGCAACATTTTCAATGTGTTCGGAAAAATGGACAGGAGGGGTGAGTAGGGGTGGGGTTATAGTTAACCTTTAGACACTTAACACTTATTTACTTTTATTATTATGTCATCAACCTCGTGAACATAGTAGACAATATAAAAATATATATACTCCTGATATATGTAATCTTTTTAATATTTAAGAAGCTGTAATATAAACTGAAGTATATCTTGCTGATCAAAAATCCAATAATTATTTAAATTTCCTTCTAATATATATAACACTCTTTCTTGCATTGTAACATTATCAAATGACCCATTTGTTATAAATATATTAAACGATTTCTTGATAGTAAAAACATAATAAAGGGGAGTAATCAAATGTTGAACCCGCTTTTGATTGTTTAGTTTGGATCTTGAATTTCGAAACTCGAATTTCGAATCTCGTACTCCGAAACTCGAATCTCGAATGAGCCTTCTGGGCTTTCGTAGTACGATTCAGTGTGCAATTATAGCCTAACACTTAAAAAAGGACTTTCATCAACATTTGAATTAATGGTATACTGTTTTCGCTCACAATGTAATTTTGTGGACCATAGAATCTGCGTAATGATGATTTTTAACGAAATTGTTTATATTCTTGTTTCATCAATTTGTTGTCAATATATTTCCTCGTTTTAGATATTGTTCATACGTAGAGCATGGTCTTGCGTATCGAATCAACTGAGAGTGATGGACTGCAGTGTACGTGGTATATTGCTACATAAGTAGAAGAAGTTCATTGTAAATTTGAAGTCGATAGATTAAAATAAATCTATAAACAAAACAAATCTTTGAAGCAGGCATAAAATACGCACCCCCTGGAAATTGGGATTAGCTGACTTGAAAGAGCAAGCTTCCCTTGCTGACAAATCACACCCACCGTGAATCCTGTTTTATCAGGTGGACGGTTGATTTCAGTATAAAAAAACAAAGTTTAGTACGATCCGATGATAGATTATATCTGCTAACAACGTGAAAAGATCTCAACCGAGTCTCACCTACATGCAGATTGTTTATGTTCAAATGAACTTGAATCCATACAAATGTGGAAGCTAGATACTGAAAACAGACAAAAGTCATGCCTTGAAAAAACTTCATCAGATCTGCATTAAACAAATTTATTTTTTCAAATTAATTCTAAATAAATAAACGCATATGTATGGAGAGATAACACACACACTGCATTTCTATTCTGTATAAAATATGCCATAATTTTCAATGTTTCAATGTAAAATGAACGGTTTTCACAATATAAACGCATGCTGCAAGTCATATCATTAACATGTATATGGGGTTTTCAAAACTTGACAAGAACCATCTTCCTAGGAGATTTATTTTCATATCACGTTTGACAGAAATTTACTACCCATTTGATGAAAGTGTGTACGTGCATGCTAAGCTAGAAACTCTGTAAACACCCTGGAATCGATTTGTGCGCAATTCAATAAAGTATTTAACTATTTAGACGGTATAGAAAATACTGCAGTTTTCCATCATCCTGTAAAATGGCAAATAATAAATTTACTTCATCTTTCTCAATGTAAACTATCACGAAACCTTGCAAAACCAAATTATTTTTCCTTGCGTGAGTACAATGGATAAGGTAATCTTTCTGTGCTAATCTGTCCATCTCTATTAATTTATTTTGGAAAACGATGTTTGCAGTTGATCTGAATCAAGCTTTTAAGGCTTGATCTTTAGTATCGCATCATAGCACGTCAATAATTTAGTTTATCATGTCGCATAGATAATTGAGACTTCTTCATATGATGAATATATATGTAAAACTCTGGACTGGTTTAAAAACGACATATAATACATGCATCATATACTTTCATTTATGACATGTTGCAAGATGTTGCAATAGTCTATCTTTACCATTTGTTTTGTATTATTTTTATTAATTGTATTGTATAATTTTTCATTTGTATTCTGTAATTTTTATTCTAAAAATTTCCATTTGTATTCGATAATTTTTATTTGCATTCTATATTTTTTTCATTTGTATTGTATACAAATGTCTTTTGTAGTATAGTATTCAAACATGTCTGATAGTCTGATATATTTTGGGTGAAGTGGGCTCTTTGTCATGTTTTTGCGTGGATTATAAGGTATTTCTCGGGGGGTGGGGGGATTTTGAATAGAGCAAAGACGGACCTCCAAAAACATCAGAGGTGGAATCAGGTTGTACAAGGGAGTGCGCATCCCCTGTCGACCGATGATATCCCTGTTTTTTCAACTTAATTGTAAATAACTTTTCTCGTAGTTATGTGCTTTGTAACGTTCATATCTCCATGGCTATAGCGCACGACTCAAAGTGTTATGATCCCAAGAACTTTATATCTTAGCCTAGAAGTAATTGTTAAATCAGTTCTAGGGAAATAGACTTTGATTTAAATGCATGGTCAGGTTCAACATAGAGAGACGGGAGAAAAGTAAAACTTATGGAAAAAACGACGGATATTTCCG